TAAAAATTAAGTTCACATAGAAGACACATATACAAGAAATAAGCAGTTTCTGAAGAAAAGGAAAAAAATAATTCTCTCTCATTTTTGGGCTTTATTAGGAGATGCCACAGACAAATGGTATGAGTCAGTTTAGGTTGGTGGTGTGACTACTGAATTCTGTGGTGCTCATGTTTCTTGAAGAGCAGAGCCAAGGCCACTCATTGTTGAACTCAGATAAACATTTCATGGCCACTTGACAAAGACTCTCCCCTTGACTAAACTTTATTCAGGTTCCTCTGAACCCTCTTCTCAACTAGGCATCAACCATGGCCTATAAAAACTGTCAGCTTCCAGCACAAATTTTGTCAGTACTGTCCCCCTCACACCACACACACTAAGAGACTTGAACAAACATTTGCATAGTTTCTAATAGCTCAAGGCCACATCATTTGGATGACAACTCCAGTTCCCTTATAATGCCTGTCTGAGAAAACTCAATACCATCTGGAAAATTTACTGTTTATTCCAGCCAAAACCTGGTGATAGGTCAGTAAGCCATAGAACCTCATCTTTAGAGTAATTCTGTACTTTGAATATATTCCCCAAAGTTTATGTGTTAGAAGCTTGATCCCCAGTGTTGTGATGTTGGGATGTAAGGCCTATTGCGAGGTGTTTGGCTCATGGAGGCACTGCCCTAATGAACAGATTAATGACATTTTCACTGGAGAGGTTCATTATCATGGCAGTAGGTTCTTATAAAAGGATGAGTTTGGCCCCTTCTTACGCTGTTGTGCATACACACTTGCTTTTTCTCTGCCTCCCTTTTGCCATGGGATGATGCAGCAAGAAGGTCCTTACCAGATGCCAACACCTTGGTCTTGGACTTCCCAGATTCCAGAACCATGAGCAAATAAAATTTTGTTCTTTATTAAGTTGCCCAGTCTGTGATACTCTGCTATTGCAGTAGAAAACATACTAAGACAGAAAATTGGTAATAGGAGTGGAGTTATTGCTATAACAGGTATCTGAAAAGGTGTTAAGTGGCTTTGGAATTTGGTAATGAGCAAAGGCTGGAAGACTTTGGAAGAACAGACTAGAAAAAGCCTATATTGCCATGAACAGAGTATTAAGGGCAATTCTGATGAGGGCTCGGAAGATAATAGCTGTAGGGAAAGTCTGAAAGTTTTTAGAGATTTACTTAAATGGTCATGATCAAAATCTTGGTAGAAATATAGATGGTAGGCTGGGCCTGGTGACTAATGCCTGTATTCCCAGCACTTTGGAAGGCCAAGGCGGGTGGATCACTTAAGGTCAGGAGTTTGAAACCAGGGTGGCCAACATGGTAAAACCCTATATATATAAAGATGATATATATATAATATTTTTAGTAGAGACATATGGCAAAGAATATATATATAATCTTTTTAACACACACACACACACACACACACACACACGCACATGGCAAAGGCCAATCTGATAAGCTCTTTGAATGAGGAATATCTTAATGGAAGCTGGAATAAACACCATTATTGTTATGGACTTGCAAAGAACTTCCAAGCCCTCACCAGAATTGCCCTTAATACTCTGTTCTTGCTAATGCAGGCCTTTTCTAGTCTGCTTTTCCAAACTCTTCCAACCTTTGCCCATTACCAAATTCCAAAGCCACTTACACCTTTTCAGGTATTTGTTATAGCAGTAATCCCACTCCTAGTACCAATTTTCTGGTAAGGGCCTTCTTGCTGTGTCATAATGTAGCAGAAAGCATCACATGGGTGAGAGAGAGCAAGCAGGGGCCAAATTTGTCCTTTATTAAGCAACCCACTGCCAAGATAACAAACACACTCCCATGAAAATGACATTAATCCATTCATGTTGGTCCTCATGACCTAAACACCTCTAAAATGTCCTACCTCCCAATACCTTTGCATTAGGGATCAGGTTTCTAACACATGAACTTTGAGGCACACATTCAAACCATAGCATTCTGTCCCTGGCTCCCCAAATTCATGTCCTTCTCACATGCAAAATATATTCACTCCATAGCAGTAGTCTCAAGCATCTACTCAAAAGTCCAATTCCAAAGTCTCATCTAAATCAGATATGGGCAAGAATCAAGCACAATTCATCCTGAAGCAACTTCTTCTCCAGCTATGAGTCTGAAATCAAACTCACAGCTGGTGTTTGCACTTCCAGAATACAATAGCTGTATTTTGGCAAAGCCACGAGGGCAGAACTGCATTGATCTTGGATTTCCCAGCCTCCACTAACAAATTTTTGTTCTTTGTAAATAAACAAATTTTTGTTCTTTGTACGTTACAGGGTCTGAGGTTTTTTGTCATAGCACTAAGTAGACACAGACAAGCAGTTACTTCAGAGAGCTTGCAATTACGAACCTTCTCTCCTGCTTTGAGGTATGATTTTTTTTTTTTTTTTTTTTGGAGACAAGAGTCTCCAAAAAAGCCTGTCCCCTAGGCTGGAGTGCAATGATGCAATCTCAGCTCACTGCAACCTCCGCCTCCCAAGTTCAAGCAGTTCTCCTGCCTTAGCTTCCTGAGTAGCTGGGACTACAGGTATGCACCACCACACCCAGCTAATTTTTGTATTTTTAGTAGAGACAGCATTTCACCATGTTGGGTGGGCTGATCTTGAACCCCTGAACCCAGGTAATCCACCCACCTTGGCCTTCCAAATTGCTGGGATTACAGGCATGAACCACCACACCCAGCCTGAGGTATAACTTTTTTTTATTACCCAGACCTGTCTTCTCAAGGACTTGGGAGTCTCTCTTTGAAATGCTAATGTTCAAGGACATACTCTTGCTCTTACTCCCAACCTATGGGTGCCTTGCTCTGACTGGCATCCTGTCATAAGATATGGTAAGTTTGTTTCTCTTCTGGATAGCTGCTAGTTAACAAACCCAGATGGCCCAGTAGCATTAACCAACTTCCCACTTTTTTAAGTTTTCACTTCCCTTACTCTGTTCAAGCCCCTGCTGTTCACCCTGCCTATTCTGCCACTCTCTTAAAACAGTCACCTCAGCCAATCACAGTGGCTCACGCCTGTAATCCCAGCACTTTAGGAGGCCGAGGTGGGCGGATCACAAGGTCAAGAAATCGAGACCATCCTGGCCAACATGGTGAAACCCCATCTCTACTAAAAATACAAAAATTAGCTGGGCATGGTGGCGCACGTCTGTAGTCCCAGCTATGTGGGAGGTTAAGGCAGGAGAATTGCTTGAACCCAGGAGGTGGAGATTGCAGTAAGCCGAGAACATGCCCTGCACTCCAGCCTGGCACCTGGCTGATAGAGCAAGACTCTGTCTTATCAAAAAAAAAAAAAAAGTCACCTCTGCACAAATTGAAGTTGAGTTCAGTTCATGCTGGACCCTATTGCAATAGTTATTAATAAAATTTACCCTTGCTGTTTTAGTGTCCAGCTTTGTCTATCTTTGTTACATACTTTACAGTTTTGGACCAAATTTTGTCCTAGCTATGCCTTTTCTCTGTATATAGCTCTTTTATGTATCAATACATTTTTTTTTTTTTTTTTTTGAGACGGAGTTTCGCTCATGTTACGCAGGCTGGAGTGCAATGGCGCGATCTCGGCTCACCGCAACCTCCGCCTCCTGGGCTCAGGCAATTCTCCTGCCTCAGCCTCCTAAGTAGCTGGGATTACAGGCATGCACCACCACGCCCAGCTAGTTTTTTTTTGTATTTTTAGTAGAGACAGGGTTTCACCATGTTGACCAGGATGGTCTCGATCTGTCGACCTCGTGATCCACCCGCCTTGGCCTCCCAAAGTGCTGGGATTACAGGCTTGAGCCACCGCGCCCGGCTCAATACATTTTTTATTAACAAAAGGACACTCACTCTTCTATAGATTTCAAAGCCTAAAAGGGAACGCCCAGCTTTCATTCCTGTATGCAGCTATAGCTTAGAATATGGAAGAGGGTCAAGACCACAACAGTCTTGAATTGGGTAGTGGTGGAAGAAAAATAACTTAGGACTACTGACACAAACTGGAAAACTCACTAGGCTGATACTGACTCTAGACACACATCTGCTGCCTGGTGGGAAGGTCCCTCTCCCTCAGGTTCTCTTACAGTGATAATGAAAAATTACAGCCCTAAGAAAAGTATCAACCTGAAGGACTTCTCAGAGGCTGAACCTAATTTTACGTGGACTTAGAAACCCATAGAGAAGGCAGGAAGAGGGAAGTCTGCAATCAAAAAACTTTATATTAAAAACTCTGAAACTCTAACTCCTGTAAATATTAAAAAATAATTTTCCCTTTTCCCTTGGTTCTTAGCAGGGATGGACCCCTGTAACAGATTACTAAGAAAAAAACAGTAGTTTAGTAATGAGTGTATTTCATAAACACATGGGAGGTATCCAGGGAATGAGTAATTCTCAAAGAGGTGGCTCTGAACCTCAGATGATAGAGCATCTTCTACAAAGAACAGTACATCTTTAGAATTGTGACAATACAAAGGAAAAGGGCCTTGAGTCTCTAGGGGCAGCAAATTGTGGAAAAGCAAATTAGTTAGTTAAAGGTAGTTAAAAGCTACTAAAGTTTGTCATGTAGATTCCTCTGGTGCAATCTCTAAGCTGAAAAGGATCTAAAGTGTTTTTTCTGGTAGAGAGTCTTTGTCAATTTGTGTCCTGCTTTTAGGCAAATAGGGAGAGGTAAGAGAGCCTTTCTTGTATCTGTTTATTCTCAATTGCCTTCAGCTCAAAATAATCCTTATGCCAAAGTGGCATGTTTTTTGGTTACTTTTTTAAAACTTGTCTATGAACTGCCTTTCAGATCCACACTTTACTGTGACTCTCTTTGTTGAAAAGAACATACACTTGAACTGCCTTTCAAATGTATATTACACCTTTGTTTACATGTTTGTACGCCAGCTACCTTACCCTGTGGATTCTAAAATAATACTTGGAAAGGTAATTGGGGAAAGACTTACACACCCTGCAGGAACAATGTGGTGACTGGCTTGTTTCCCTTGTGTCTGTTCTCAGAAAAAACAAGTAATGAGCACACTGCTGAGATGGAACACATGAAATCCTTGGTTCATGGATTATTTACAGTCTTGCATTTAGAGGAGTCTCAGAAAAAGAGAGAGCACCATTTATTGGAGAAAATTGACCACCTGAAGGAACAGCTGCAGCCCCTTGAGCAGGTTAGGAAGCATCATGGTTGAGTATATTTAAAAATCATACCTAGTGTTTTTTAAGTGCTCCTCGTGTTAGCATTTTTCTGAATGCTTTCCATATGCTGATTTTCTCCTTTATTCCTCACAAAAAATCATGTAAGTTCAGTACTGTTATCTTCCTCATTTTTCAGATGAGGAAACTGAGCAACAAAGGTATATAGCTAATACAAGGTAGAGCCTGGACTTGAGCTCATGTGGCCTGTGTTGAGAGCTGCCACCTTAAACACTATGCCATGCTTCCTCTCCACAGATCAGTCATCATGTCTCTGTAAATAAGTGCAATAAGAGCAGGGAAGCACTAGCTGGAGTCCTACCTCCCTTTCCTTTTTAGAGAATAGGCCCAGCACCTGTGCTTTGCCTAACAGAATTGCAGCTGGAAAGGTGGTAATGGCTAGCCTCAAGTGAAATCAATAGTGTGGAAAAAGTAACTTTTGTTTGAGGGGATAGTTGGGGAAATTTGTTTCAAGGGAAAGAATTGCATTCTTTAGACTTACCCATTTGTGATTTTTATTTAAATGGGAAGGTATATGTGTATCTTTGAATATGAATGGAAAGTTTCTGGAGATGTAAGGAAGTTTTTTTTTTTGAAGACAAGAGTCTCACTCTGTCGCCAGGCGCCAGGCTGGGGTACAGTGGCACAATCTCGGCTCACTGCAACCTCCGCCTCCTGGGTTCAAGCAATTCTTCTGCCTCAGCCTCCCAAGTAGCTGGGACTACAGGTGCACACCACCACGCCCAGCTATTTTTTTTCATTTTTATTTTTAGTAGAGATGGGGTTTCACCACGTTGGCCAGGATGGTCTCAATCTCTTGACCTTGTGATCCGCCCACCTCGGACTCCCAAAGTGCTGGGATTACAGGCTTGAGACACCGCGCCCTGCTGATATAAGGAAGTTTTTTTTTTTTTTTTTTTTTTTAGACGGAGTTTCGCTCTTGTTACCCAGGCTGGAGTGCAATGGCGTGATCTTGGCTCACCGCAACCTCCGCCTCCTGGGTTCAGGCAATTCTCCTGCCTCAGCCTCCTGAGTAGCTGGGATTACAGGCACGCACCACCATGCCCAGCTACTTTTTTGTATTTTTAGTAGAGACGGGGTTTCACCATGTTGACCAGGATGGTCTCAATCTCTCGACCTCGTGATCCACCCACCTCGGCCTCCCAAAGTGCTGGGATTACAGGCTTGAGCCACCGCGCCCGGCCTCCATAAGGAAGTTTTAATAGCAATTACCTCTAAACATATTTGGAGGATAGCAGAGAGAGGGACTTGTTTTATTTTTTGATTGTTTACCATTTTTTTTTCTTTACTTGTAATATATTTACTTGGATTAAAATTTTATTTATTTATTTATTTTTATTTTTTTATTTTTTTTGAGATGGAGTTTAGCTCTTGTTACCCAGGCTGGAGTGCAATGGCGCAATCTTGGCTCACCACAACCTCCGCCTCCTGGGTTCAAGCAATTCTCCTGCCTCAGCCTCCCGAGTAGCTGGGATTACAGGCACACGCCACCATGCCCAGCTAATTTTTTGTATTTTTAGTAGAGATGGGGTTTCACCATGTTGACCAGGATGGTCTCGATCTCTCGACCTCATGATCCACCGGCCTCGGCCTCCCAAAGTGCTGGGATTACAGGCTTGAGCCACCGCGCCCAGCCTGGATTAAAATTTTAAAACCTGGCTGGGCGCAGTGGCTCACGCCCGTAATCCCAGCACTTTGGGAGGCTGAGGCCAGTGGATCACCTGTGATTGGGAGTTCCAGACCAGCCTGACCAACATGGAGAAACCCTGTCTCTACTAAAATTACAAAAATTAGCCAGACATGGTGGCACATGCCTGTAATCCCAGCTACTTGGGAGGCTGAGGCAAGAGAATCGCTTGAACTGGGAAGGCAGAGGTTGCGGTGAGCTGAAATCATGCCATTGCACTCCAGCCTGGGCAACAAGAGCAAAACATTGTCTTAAAAAATTTTTAATCTAAAATTTTCCTCCCACCTTATCTTCCCAGTTACTATATTCTCCACACCTATGAATCATTTCAGATTTTACCTATATACAAATATATTTTTATTTTGTTCTCTCAGAAAAGGAAGCACACTATTTTACACTATTCACATCTTTTTTCCCAGTGTATTATAGAAATCTCCCCTTATTGGCACAGAGCTTTGTTACAGTTGTGTAATGTCTTGACGGGCATATGGATTATTTTGGACTTCTGCTGTTAAGAATGAATCCGTAATGGGTTTTGTGTATGCAGTTGGGAGTTGTAGGATACATTCCTAGAAGTGGAATTGCTAAGTCAAATAGGCCTCTAATTTTAGCTGGAGTTCAGAAGATGACTTCTGAGTTTTTCATTGTATACTTTTCTATACGTTTCATTTTTTCAAGGGCAGCTATTACCTTTATAATTTTTAAGATTAATGAGCTGACTTGGAAATGAGTAACTCATTCATGTATGTTTCTATTGTTCTTCCATATATCTGACCTCTTCAAAGTAAGAGTTCCTTTTCATCTTGCTTATTGTCCCCTTTAGTTGGTATATCTGTAAACGGAATTAACAGTTTTTCATTCCCCCTCAGGTGAAAGCTAGAATCGAAGCTCATTCAGAAGCCAAAACCAGTGGACTCCTGTGGGCTGGATTGGCACTGCTGTCCATTCAGGGTGGGGCACTGGCCTGGCTCACGTGGTGGGTGTACTCCTGGGATATCATGGAACCAGTTACATACTTCATCACATTTGCAAATTCTATGGTCTTTTTTGCATACTTTGTAGTCACTCGACAGGTGAGTAGTTTGTTAGGAAAATGTAAGTTAGAACATCTTTGCAAATAATGTCTTATCTAAGCATTGAACAATAAAGCTTTTTTATTTACTGAATTACTGCCATCTGGGCTTTTATGAGCTGGTAAATTTTTTATTTGTTTTTCACGAGACTGGATGAAGACTCACAGAGAAACTATATATAACTTCTCTGGAGAAATAATTAGTATAACACAGAAATTCCTCCATTGGGATAAACATGTCAAATTTGTGTTCTGTGTTCTCATTTATAAATAAAACTGAATTTGCATTGTAAAACATTCAGTAACATTAACTTTGTCTCATGGTTATTTAATATGCCAAAAATCTCCCTTTTTTCTTCCTCCTGCTTTCCCATTATGTGTCATTTCTCTTTCAAGTTTGCCTGCTTTTGAAAGGAGCAGGAGATCTTAAATGAGACTGAATGTTTTACTTGTGTTGGGTTATGCTTACCCTCATGGCCACTGCAAATATTTTACTCATTCATCTGCCTTCTTTTGCTTTGGTGTTGCCGAGTCAAGTATCTTTCTTGCCAGAAGCATTATGTTCATTCAAAACATGTTATTTTCTTTTGTTTTTTTAAGGATTATACTTACTCAGCTGTTAAGAGTAGGCAGTTTCTTCAGTTCTTCCACAAGAAATCGAAGCAACAGCATTTTGATGTGGAGCAATACAACAAGTTAAAAGACGACCTTGCTAAGGTATTGTACTACAAATACATCTCATGGCTGGTTTGTTTGGGAGCCAGAACTTACTATCAGGGAGATACAATTGGTGGCTCATCCTCACAAGTTAAATCTTGGTCCTGGATTTCTATGTGCCGTGGGATTGTTCATTGAAACAGTTGACACATTTCATATTAATCTCATATCCCAGTTTTACTCTTCTGTACATGAAGATAGCTTTAAATGCGTGTGTTAAATTTTTTAAAATGACTTGAGATAGTAAATAAAAGTTTTCACTGGAAATCCATTTCTAAGTAAATAAAAATTAGAATTTTAGGAAGGCGAACACTGTGATAAGGAATTGAAAGCATGTATATGTTTCCTTTCCCTAAAGATAGAAGAATCATAGTATTCCTCCCTTCATCTTCTCTATAAAGTGAAGGAACCATGGTATGAACACAAGTTTGATTTCGGAGTCTATTTTCTTAAGTACTTTTTCACAATCTGTTTGTCAGGCAGTTACCTCTGGTCTCCCAACTTACTCATTAACTTTGTTCAGATGGTGACTTCTCAGCACATCACTGGATTTTTCATTTTTATCAGTAATTTCATAACAAAAAAGTTCTGATAAAAATATCCTCCATTGCTCAATGCATGCTTGTTTAGTATGCATCCCTAAAATTTAAAAAAGAATTACTCAAATTTTGTAGTCTAAAAATTGTAGAGCCTTTATTTATTTATTTTTCCCCTTGAGATGGAGTCTTCTTGTTACTCCGACTAGAGTGTAGTGGCACAATCTCAGCTCACTGCAACATCCGCCTCCTGGTCTGAAGCAATTCCTCTGACTCAGCCTCCTGAGTAGATGTGATTACAAGTGCCCGCCACCATGCCTGGCTACTTTTTTGTATTTTTAGTAGAGACGGAGTGTAATTGTGTTGGTCAGGTTGGTCTCAAACTCCTAACCTCAAGTGATCCACCTGTCTCAGGCTCCCAAAGTATTAGGATTACAAGCGTGAGTCACCATGTCCAGCCAAGCCTTTTTAAAAATATTTATTTTATATAATCTTTCTGTAGGAAAAATACAATGCTTTAAAAATCTTTTTTTTTTTTTTTTTTTTGTGTGTGAATTCCCTTATATTTGAATAATCCCATCTAAGAAGGCTAAGGAATATTCTTTCAGCTCATTTATATAGGACAGTACATTTGAGATTTAGAAGGAAAGCCTGGCATGATCCCAGTGATTTGGGAGGTCAAGGTGGGAGGATCTCTCAAGTCCACAAGTTGGAGAGAAGACTTCATCTCTACAAATGTTTTGAAAAAATTATCTGGGTACGGTGCTTGTAGCCCCAACTTTATAGCTACATGCTTGTAGCCCCAGCTACTTGGGAAGCTGAAGCAGGAGGATCCCTTGAGCCCAAGAGTTCAATGCTGCAGTGAACTATGATCACACCGTGGCACTCCAGCGTCAGTGACAGAGTGAGATGAGACCCCCATCTCTAAAAAAAGAAGTTTAAATGTAACACTTTGTTAAAGTTTTATTAAGGTAATAAAGTAGAGTTAAAAAGATAAAGTGGTAGGTTAAGGGTATTTTTTTTTTAAGAATATGAACTGGAAAACCATTATAAAGGGGATAACGTAGTATTTTTTTTTAAAAGGCCTAAGGATGAATTAGTAAACTTAAGCTCATCTTTTAAAAAGATCCATAAACAAAATTGAAATATTTATCGCATCACTTTGGGAAGCCAAGGTGGGCAAATCACTTGACTCCAGGAGTTCAAGACCAGCCTGGGCAACATGGTGAAACTCCATCACTACAAAAAATATCAAAAAAAATTAGGCAGTCATGATGGTAGGCACCTGTGGTCTCAGCTACTTGGGAGGCAGAGGCAGGAGAATCACTTGCACCAGGGAGGTGGAGGTTGCAGTGGGCCAGGATGGCACCACTGCACTCCTGCCTGGGTGACAGAATGAAACCCTATATCCAAAAAAAAAAAAAAAAAAAAAAATAGTTTAGCCATTTGCCAGTAGTAGTTTTAATATTTTATTGCCGTAAGGAGATGTTAAGTTTATAGAATTCCTCTCAAGCAGTAATGTTAGTATGTTTCTCATTCTTTCTGACCACATGCTTTTTCTTTTTCCCATGACAGGCTAAAGAATCCCTGAAACAGGTGCGCCATTCTCTCTAACTGCAAATGCAAGTAGAGGAACTCAATGAAAAGAATTAATCTTACATTTTTAAATGTCATTGGATTTTCCATTATGTATTAATTTTGCAACTTAGGATGGGACCATGGTTCACTTCAATTTGATCGTTCAGTTGTTTTTTTGGTTAATAAATTCTTGTAAAACAGAGGTATTGTTTGAAGTTCTCAACTGAGATTTTTACTTTGTGGATTTTTATGACTTGCTAATGTTAGAAAGGGCTTGTATGTGTCTATCAAAGCAATAGTGGCTGCTGTTAGCCAAAAATCCTTTCAGCTTGTCCCATGTTTATTCTCTATGTGGAGGTGAAAGGGTCTGTGCTTGGCATTCACTTTCACTCTTAGACTTCATTTGGAATCATCTTTAAAAAAAAAATTAGAGACCAAGTCTTGCCAAACCAAACTCCTGGGCTCAAGCGACCCTTCTGCCTCAACCTCCTATGGAATCATCCTGTTATTAACTTCTTTTTTTAATATGCAATCGTTGTGATTAAGACCTTTTTTTTTTTTTTTGAGATGGAGTTTCGCTCTTGTTACCCAGGCTGGAGTGCAATGGCGCGATCTCGGCTCACCGCAACCTCCGCCTCCTGGGTTCAGGCAATTCTCCTGTCTCAGCCTCCTGAGTAGCTGGGATTACAGGCATGCACCACCATGCCCAGCTAATTTTTTGTATTTTTAGTAGAGACGGGGTTTCGCCTTGTTGACCAAGGTTGGTCTCGATCTCTTGACCTTGTGATCCACCCGCCTCGGCCTCCCAAAGTGCTGGGATTACAGGCTTGAGCCACCGCGCCCGGCCGGGATTAAGATCTTTTTATCAGTTATCAAAAAGGCATAAATGTTCACTAACCATAAAGTATAGTTGATAGTTTTTGAGCTTCAACTGAAACTGTGTATATAAATGATGGCTTTTGAACCTGCAAATCACAAGTTTCAGGTATCAAAGCCCACTTAACCACCTTTGGCCTCTGTCAGGTTATTAACAAAACAGTATTATTCATATTCTGTATATCATATTAATAAGAATTGAACCTTAAGGGTAGCATCTATTATTAATGTGATCGTGTGTGAAGAATGGGTCTGATGACCGCTGGACTGTTTCTTGGAACTTAACATGGAAGATGCTGACACAATCAGAATTTGCAGATGTTCAGCCTATAGTGGCTAAGAATTACTATTTTTCTGTTTCATCCTCAGAATGACATATAACTCTGAAATGCTGATTTTTTAAAAAGTAGGAATTAAAGTCATACACAAAATGTGGTAATTCACATGTAGATGAAATATTAAACGTTTATATGACCAAGTAAAAACTACAAATTACACAAATGAATAAGAATGTTAGAAAAATCTAATCAAATATGAATTTCAAATATTTTATAAGGGATGATTTAATTCTTGGATTTCAAAAACCTTTAAAAACAACTTTTTTTAATAAAAACTTTCATAAAAAATGTGACAAAATACTAGTTAAATCAGCCAGATTTTTGTGTAATCCTGCAGTTTACTAAAAAATATTACAAATGCTTGTAAATTATTTTTCTAATTTCCTGAGGATTTTGTTTCTGCATATCAAACCCTTTCACCATGGCCAACATGAACTTTTTTTTTTTAAAGGCAGTTCTTTGCTGGGCATTAAACATTAAAACATTTGAATCACTGACCACACGCTTAACCTAACGATATTTACAGACTGTAAGATAAGATCGCCCCTATTAATTAGACTTTGGAAAGAAATGCAGCTTTTTAGTTAGCATTGAGGCAAAGCAAGGAACCTGCTTCTTCCCAATGGCACTTGGGTCTTTGCAGAAGTCCACGCGGCGCTGAGAAACTTTCCTGTTCACCAGTGTGAGGAGTTCTGTGAACTCTAAGGAGGAGCCATATTTTCCCAACATTTCACACAAATCTTGAATGTACCATGAGCCATTGATCGTTTCCCGGTGAGAATAATATCCTAAAAAAATGAGGAGGAAAATGTAGCTGTAGTTTTCCAGCTTTCAATTACTATGAGTGAGAAATAACTTTATACTTTACAGAAGTGTAAGTTCTTAAAAATCCTTAGAAAAGACTAAGATATGTCCATGATATATATGGTTAAAAAATTTTGACTCTTCTCAAATGGGGAAAGAGAGTAATTCTGTATAGTTTTATATATATGGGGTTAATTCTGTATAATTTCCTCCATTTCCTAAAAAATTCCCAAGATAGACAATGATTTTGAGAGACATGAGATTACTAGAAAGAAGTCAAACAAAATTATTTACTATGAAAGCAAAGAAGAACCATTATCAAAATATTTTTCAGCCAGGCATGGTGGCTCACGCCTATAATCACAGCACTTTGGGAGGCTGAGAGAGGCAGATCACTTGAAGTCAGGAGTTTGAGACCAGCCTGGCCAACATGGTGAAATCCCGTCTCTACTAAAAATACAAAAAATTAGCTGGGCGTGGTGGTGGGGATCTGTAATCCCAGCTGCTCAGGAGGCTGAGGCAGGAGAAACGCCTGAACCCGGGAGGCAGAGGTTGCAGTGAGCCGAGATTGTGCTACTGCACTCCAGCCTGGGAAACAGTGAGACTCTCTCAAACCAAAAAATATTTTTCATGCTGGGTGCAATGGCTCATGCCTGTAATCCCAGCACTTTGGGAGGCCACTGCCAGAGGATCACTTGAGCCCAGGAGTTTGAGACCACCCTGGGCAACAAAGCAAGACCCAATCTCTAAAGAAAAATTTAAAAATTAGCCAGGCATGATGGTACATGCCTATAGTTCCAGCTACTGGGAAGCTGAGGTGGGAGGATTGCTTAAGCCTGAGAAATCAAGGCTACAGTGAGCCATGAACATGCCACTGCACTCTAGCCTCAGGGACAGAGTGAGACCTTGTCTCCAAAAAAAAAAAAAAAAAAAAAAAGCTTTCTATGACAATTACCACAATGGCACTACCACTCTCAGTAACTGATGGTAAGCTGCTAATATTAATACAATTAGACCTGTTGCTTTACTTAATATCTGTCAGGAATGCTTTTTCTGTAAGGTGTTTTACACTTTCACTTAGTCTGTGCCCTGTGGTCAAAGAAATTCTTTCTAACTCTGAGTTTCAGGATGGAATCACTATGTCCCAATAGAAAGACCTGACCCATTTAAATGAAAGTTGCCAGGAAAAAAAAAAAAAGACCTGACCCAAACCAATCAAAGGTGAAACTTACAGAACCTTAGACAAGAGAGGCAAATTATTTTGTCTTAAAACACCACACACCTTCTGCAACAGAGTAACACATGAGGAAGTCTGCTCCAGCAGGCAGTGTGTAAACGGAGGCTGCATCCACCTCAGTCACGTTCGTGTCCAGCTTGTCTGTCTGATTATCTACGACATCCAAAGGAATGACCGGTACATCGTGCTGGTTTCCCCGACACGCCTACAAGACAAGGAGAAGAAAACCCACCTCTGCCTACTGTGTCCTTCCTAGTGCTTAATGTGTTCAGTGAATGTATAAACCAGTACACCTTCATTACAACGGAAACCACATGCTGAGCATTTCATAAGCAATACGTTCAGGTTTAAAGGGAACTTAAAGCCAACGAAGTTGTTTCCCTACTTATGTTTTCTTTTAGTTAATAAGAACAAATTGGCATCCCCAAGTATACATTAAATTATGTTGGTTGAAAGGTATACTGTAGAGGAAACGCTTGTGGCACACCCAGGGCACACTGCGTTACCTTCCCTTTAAAAAGCTCTAGTATTGGCCGGGCGCGGTGGCTCACGCCTGTAATCCCAGCAGTTTGGGAGGCCGAGGCGGGTGGATCACGAGGTCAAGAGATCGAGACCATCCTGGTCAACATGGTGAAACCCTGTCTCTACTAAAAATACAAAAATTAGTTGGGCATGGTGGCGCACGCCTGTAGTCCCAGCTACTCGGGAGGCTGAGGCAGGAGAATTGCTTGAACCCAGGAGACAGAGGTTGTGGTGAGCTGAGATCGTGCCATTGCACTCCAGCCTGGATAACAAGAGTGGAACTCCGTCTCAAAAAAAAAAAAAAAAAAACCTCTAGTATTTACCTAAGCATTTCTATTTAGTCAGACAGTAATTCCAGATTGTTTTGCTTGCCTGGCTGCTGCTATAAATTGTTAGGAGTTAAAATGACATCCAGTCTGACCTGAGGAGATGCACCTTTTTCCTTGTGTGCCTGTTAAAAAGTGAGGTGTCCAGGCTGGGTGCGGTGGCTCAAGCCTGTAATCCCAGCACTTTGGGAGGCCGAGGCGGGTGGATCACGAGGTCAAGAGATCGAGACCATCCTGGTCATCATGGTGAAACCCCGTCTCTACTAAAGATACAAAAAATTAGCTGGGCATGGTGGCATGTACCTGTAACCCCAGCTACTCAGGAGGCTGAGGCAGGAGAATTGCCTGAACCCAGGAGGCGGAGTTTGCAGTGAGCCGAGATCGCGCCATTGCACTCCAGCCTGGGTAACAAGAGCGAAACTCTGTCTCAAAAAAAAAAAAAAAAAAGAAGAAAAAGAGAGGTGTCAAATGTTTATCCACTAATTCAGACCCAGAATTTACATTAAATTTAGACTCACTCAGAATTAACATTAAATTCTGACTCACAAGTGACTTCTTTACAGGCCAAACTGTGTTCCCCAAAAATTCGTATGTTGAAGTCCTAACCCTAATAAAATGAGATGGTATGAGTGACCCCAAATCCAACATAACCAGTTGTCTTCTTCATAAGAACCTGGGACACAGACATGCATAGAAGAAAAACCCTATGAAGGCACAGGGACAAGACGGCCACCTACAAGCCAAGGGAGGCCACAGAAGAAACCAACCCTCCCCACACCTTCATCTCAGGCTTCCAGCCTCCGGAACTGTGGCAATAAATCCCTGCTGTTTAAACCCACAGTCTGTGGTACTTTGTTATGGCCACCCTATACACGAATGCAGTCACCTAATACGATTGTTTTAACATTATAAATGCATCAATCAGTTCTGAAATGGTCGAAGAATTACAAGCACCAAAAAAGTCCCGATTTCAAATCAAAAATAGAAAATCCCTAATATCCCATTTTTATAGGGAGATTTTAATCTTGGTATCAGCAGGTTTATTTACAGGCCTTGTTTTCTACTGTCCTTCCTAAATATGACATAGAACACCTTTAACCTGATGACATCACCTGCCAAGTCAGCTGCAATAAGAGGGAGCCTTTACTGATGGCTTGCCATATGCCAGGCCCTATTCTAAGTGGCTTTCATTCATTAAGTCAGGTGATTTTGCCCTCAACAACCACCCCATGAGACAGGTGCTATTTTTACCCTGGTTTCACAGATAAAGAATCTAATGCATAGAGAGATAAAGTCACTTGGCAAACAACTTCCTTCCATTGTGACTTTCTTCCCATAGTAGCTCATTAGTTATTTCCAATTCTCTTGTTTGACAGTGTTGGCCACTCCTTTTTCATGAAACAATCATGTCATTCTTTGTGTCTGACTTTTCTCCTGGTGTCCATCCTCCTCAGTATCTTCCTTCTTCAGCCCATTAACTCATGGGTGCCCCGTGGTTTTGTTTTACACTCATTTTTCAGGCTATATTCAACATGGGTAAGCTCATCTAATCCCATGGCTACCTCCTGATTTATTTCTCCAGCCAAGGCCACCAGTCTTAGGTTCTACACCTGTATCACCAATTCCATGTTCTACAGATATTCCAATGCAGGTGTCCAAACCAGAAACAAGGCAGTCATCCTTCACTTTTTTTTTCTTGAGACCGATTTTCACTCTTGTTACCCAGGCTGGAGTGCAATGGCATGATCTTGGCTCACCACAACCTCCGCCTCCTGGATTCAGGCAATTCTCCTGCCTCAGCCTCCGGAGTAGCTGGGATTACAGGCACGCACCGCCATGCCCAGCTAATTTTTTGTATCTTTAGTAGAGACGGGGTTTCACCATGATGACCAGGATGGTCTCGATCTCTTGACCTCGTGATCCACCCACCTCGGCCTCCCAAAGTGCTGGGATTACAGGCTTGAGCCACCGCGCCCGGCTGTCCTTCACTTCTTATAGCCACTTCCTTGCCCCAAAACAAGGCTTTATGGTAGGATGCGAAATGAGTTTCACGTTTGATATGGTTTGGATGTTTGTCCCTTCCAAACCTCATGTTAAAATGTGGTTCCCAGCGTTGGAGGTGGGGCCTGGTGGAAGGTGACGGGATCATCAAGGAGAAGCTCTCATGAGTGGTTTAGCATCATCTCCTTGGTGATAAGTGAGTTCTTGTTCAGGTCACATGAAATCTGATTATTTCTAAAAGAGTCTGGGACCTCCCCCTTGGTGAGCTCTTGCTCCCACTCACCATATCATATGCTGGCTCTCCATCGTCACCTTCCACCATGATTGTAAGCTGCTTGAGGCCTCACCAGAAGCAGATGCCAGCACCATGCTTCCCGTACAGCCTGCAGAACTGTGAGCTAATCAAATCTGTTTTCCTTATAAACTACCCAGTCTCAGGTATTTCTTTATAGCAATGCAATAGACTAACATAATTTTGTTTCATGTCCTCTATGCCATTCATGGTCATACAGAATTGTGGCACTGTGTCAGGTTTCTCTCTTGTAGGTCAAAATTTTTGGCTGGGTGCAATGGCTCACGCCCGTAATCCCAGCAATTTGGGAGGCCAAGGTGGGCAGATTACCTGAGGTCAGGAGTTCAAGACCAGTCTGACCAACATAGTGAAACCCCGTCTCTACAAAAACACAAAAATTAGCTGGACATGATAGTGAGTGTCTGTAATTCCAGCTACTTGGGAGGCTAAGGTGGGAGAATTGCTTGAACCTGGGTTGGGGGTGGGGTGGAAAGGTTGCAGTGAGCCAAGATTGCACCTTGCACTCCAGCCTGGGTGACAGAGCGAGACTTCATCTCAAAAAAAAAAAAAAAAAAAAAAGCCTTAATGATGTGCCAATAATCTATGCAAAAAAAATTTTTTTGGTTTTGTTTTTCTGAGACAAAGTCTTGCTCTGATGCCCAGCCTTGAGTACAGTGGTGCGCGCTCAGCTTCCTGCCGCCTCCGCCTCCCAGGTTCAAGCAATTCTCGTGCCTCAGCTTCCTGAGTAGCTGGGATTACAGCTGCCCACCACCATGCCTGGCTAATTTTTGTATTTTTAGTAGAGATGAGGTTTCACCATGTTTCCAGATGGGTCTTGAATTCCTGACCTCAGGTGATCTGCCCACCTCTGCCCCTCAAAGTGCTGGGATTATAGGCATGGGCCACCATGCCCACCCAAAATACCTTTATCCCTAAAACCAATTTGGCATAGGGGAAACAATCTTGGTTTAAGGGGAAATGTGAAAGGCATGAGACAAGGCTTTATCTTCCATTCTTTACACTGCTTTATATGCTGTCCGCCTCCAAAGAAGCAAACTTAGTCTGATGATGCCTTGCACGGCACTCTTCAATCAGCAGGTACTTTTTCCAGTGGCTCTACCTTGATACCAGGCTCTGCCAGGGAGTAGCCTCCTAGTTACTTTATGAGTTGCTTCAAATGTCAATCCAAATGCTGTTATTTTATAATACAGATAATGAGAGTGTCAATTATTACTAACAGCTCAAAGTGCCACTCTGGCCAGAATTCAAAAGTGGCCTGTCCAATTACTGGAGAAAGTTACTTTCAAAATTGGCTTTTAGACCTTTATCACATGTTCAGAATAACAGACTTTATAGTTAAGATGATAATGTAGACCGGGCATGGTGGCTCATGCCTATAATCCCAACACTTTGGGAGGCGAGGCGGGTAGATGACGAGGTCAAGAGATCGAGACCATCCTGGCCAACATGGTGAAACCCTGTCTCTACTAAAGATACAAAAATCAGCTGGGCGTGGTGGTGCGCACATGTAGTCTCAGCTACTCGGGAGGCTGAGGCAGGAGAATCACTTGAACCCAGGAGGGGGAGGTTGCAGTGAGCTGAGGTCAAACCATTGCACTCCAGCCCAGGCAATGGTGTGAGACTCTACCTCAAAAAAAAAAAAAAAAAGATTGATAATGCAATCAGTCTTACCTGAATGATAAATATCTTAGGTTTTCCAACGAGGCTCCGACACTTGTCTCCTTTGAACAAGCCAGTTAATGTCTGAATTTCAATTTTAGCATCATATGCATAAATGTGATTGCCTTCGCCATGGCTCAGGAAGACACACATAAAGCAATCGGCATCTGTGTGGCTAGAGGCTGACACTATAAAGGCCCCAAAGAGAATATAGAAATGAAAATATGCCTGTTATCTACACATAAAAATTCTGTTTACTAATACTAAAGTTACAGCCACATGATTGGAAAGGAGAAAATATTATTACTGTCTCTTTTTTGTTTTTCTTGAGACAGAGTTTTGCTCCTGGTGCCCAGGCGTAGGCTGGAGTACAGTGACGTGATCTTGGCTCACTGCAACCTCTGCCTCCTGGGTTCAGGTGATTCTCCTGCCTCAGCCTCCCAGGTAGCTGGAATTACAGATGCATACCAACACACCTGGCTAATTTTTGCATTTTTAGTAGAGATGGGGTTTCACTATGTGGCCAGGCTGGTCTCGAACTCCTGACCTCAGGTGATCCCACCACCTTGGCCTCCCAAAGTGCTGGGATTACAGGTGTGAGCCACCACGCCCAGCCTATTCTCTAATACGTATAAAATATCTGTAATAAAACTTATTTTTGTCTGTAATCAAACAATAATTTATACCCTACTGTATCTGATTGTTTTAAAAATCCAAATTTATTAAAGTTCAGAGTAATAGAATTTGACCAAACTTCATTAGCCTTTTAAAACACAGAACGATGTGGAAAACATAAAGGGATTATGATAGGGAAGCTCACTTAAGATCCAAGTTACTTTGGCAATAAACTAAAAATTTCCTTGAATTAGCAGAGACTTTAGAGCAAACTGGAAAGACCCAGAACTGCTGCTCAACAACTCCACACGTGCTGCTGCACTTTCACTACAGGAATACAACACTCAGGGCTCGGCATGGTGACTCAAGCCTGTAATCCAGCAGGTAGATCACTTGAGGCCGGGAGTTCGAGACCAGCCTGGCCAACATGGTGAAACCCCATTTCTACTAAAAATACAAAAATTAGCTGGGCGTGGTGGTGAGCTACTTGGGAAGCTGGGGCAGGAGAATCGCTTGAACCCAGGAGATGAAGGTTGCAGCGAGCCAAGATCATGCCACTGCACTTCAGCCTGGGGGACAGAGGGAGACTCTGTCTCAAAAGATTACAGCACTTAGAGCTTCCAAAAGTGTACTCAAGGCCACGTGCAGTGACATAAGACCGATGTCCTCCAAAGCTGCTGAGCAAAGTTGAAAAGCTGGTAAGCAGACAAATTAAAATGATGTGCAGTTTAAAAAAGAGCTCTGAAGAAAGTTTAAAGTAATTATGCAAATATAATGGTTGGCAAATGATTTGAATACCCATGGCATGCAGTGATGATTATAATATAGGTTGTAATTAGAATACCTACCACATATTGATGTTGTGGGAATTAAAGGAGGTAACGTATGTAAACCAACATTACTTGGAAACCAGTGAGAAAATGGGGCCTGAAAGGAGTTAATGGGAAGATGTAGTTTGCATTTTAGGCTTTTACTGCCAGTTGAAGGGTTTATCTCATTCATTTCTACAGTAATAGACTGTAACTAGTGGTATGTTAAATATAGACTTTAGAGGCCCAATTCTTTGCAAGGGTCTCTAAACGTGCTGGCTAACAGAAACATAGATGCATACCCCAAACCTGTAACCTGTGCTAAATTAACACTATTTTTTGGTCACACAAGTAATTACTTGTACCTGTCTTTACAGAGAGGATAAAGGACTCAGTCTCATTAGAGGAAGATGAACTATGTAATAGCAAAACTACCTACCCTCATGAATTTTGAGCAGTAGTTCTTCTGCTTTAAGATCGTTAAAGCATTTCACTTCAAATCCTAGATCTGAAAACCTAGTGATATATTAAATGAAACGTTAGCCTATAAACTTTTCAAAGTCATCAAATACCCTTACTTTGGAGGAATCTATACACATTTTAATGACACATAAATTGCCTTCTTTAGGAGAAAAGAAAATAAATATAACAATGGTGATTTTCCCTTCATTCACCATGGTAAGAAAGAATTTAATCATAATGATAGCCAAATCAATTTAGAGTATTGTTCGCTACTATGCAAATGTTAGTAAAAATGCAAAGCCTGTCAACATTTAATAGAACAGACTAAGGAAGATAACTCAGACAAGTTCTTAAGGGAGGCTAACTGAGGCCCATCCTTAAACACTCTTGATCTGTTATCTCATTAGTGTTGACAAGTTATAAGTAACTTTTTTCCCCTACTTCTAGGAGTCTGGAATTTTAATTAAGAACTTTTTTTTTAAGTTTTCTTTTGGAAGCCTGGAAAAAAATTATTTCTTATTTTAGAGAGAAGGTCTCACTCTGTCACCCAGGCTGGAGTGCAATGGCATGACCACAGCTCATCACAACCTTCAACAGGATCCTAGGCTCAAGCCATCGTCTCCCCTTCAGCTTCCAGAGTAGCTGGGACCACCGCCACCATGCTCAGCTAATTGATTTTTATTTTTTGTAGAGACAGGGTCTCGGTCTGTTGTCCAGACTGGTCTCAAAATCCTGGCCTCAAATGATCCTCCCACCTTGGCTTCCCAAAGTGCTGGGATTACCAGCATGAGCCACCACACCTGGCCAAAAGTGATTGTGTTATCACTTAACTGCCTCATCTCGATATGCAGATAAAACTACTACCTGCGGGTAAGATTGTCTCGGTCTGCGCTGGTGCCCCGCCTATCTGGCAGTGTTAAGTGCCAAAGGAACCTCTCATGATTGAAGATTAAAGCGATTCCTCTCCTCCTGTGGTCCATTTTGTACTTTTCTGCCGGATCAAATATTTCTCTGTTAATGAAAAGTTCAAAAACAATCACTTCAAGTCACATTAAATGAGCCCCTCCAAGTTCTAGGTCAACATGTAGATAGAGAGCTGAGCTTCCTCCTCCTTGCCAGGCTGATGTTCCACTGGAGTGTTTAGTAAAGGCCACGCTGCTAAGGAAAGTCCTGAAACATCTCTCTGCCAATTGGTAAATGGTAGCCGTGTGCCATGCTGACACATCCCTAACCCTCTGCTGTCTTTCCCCGGACCCCCAGGATCCAGCAACCAGGAATAACCGTGTGGCTCAGAACCAAGCTCTCGCTCTAGGCTCATGCCATGCCAATTCAGACGTACCGTATTCTGAACATCACTCCAGGTCCCTCGACAACCAGGGGCAGCACAACCTGTCTGTCTACAAATCACCTCCCCAAAGCTAAAACCTGGCCTACTCAGTTCTACTTTGCAGTGCCCAGGACCCATTCTTGCTTTTATTTCTGTAGGCTGACTGTGACCATCAAAGGAAGAGACCTTTATTAGAGAAGAGCACAGCTTTACCTTTTATAGAAGGCATCTGTTTCTGTCATGTTTTGTTCCCCACCTATTAAAAAAAGTTGATTTTTGTTAATTATTTTTTACTGTGGCGGTGAAGTCCAGTAGGAACTCCCATCCTCCTTCCAACTCCCAAACTCTAAGACCCTTCTGGTTTGATTAGTTTAAAAGCCAAAGTATATGACGAGAAGGAAATCAAAGAATATGGCTTACTAATAAACTATAAATTAACAGCTCTATGCTTTCTCACCCCCAACTTGACCTGCAAAATAACATAAACAGAAATGGAGAAAATAGTACACAAATGCGTTCACTGCAAAATATGCCTAGAGTAACACAGTTCTGTGATTATGGAGTTAAAATGAAATATGGGCCGGGAGCAGTGGCTCACGCCTGTAATCCAAGCACTTTGGAGGCCAAGGCGGATGGATCACCTAAGGTTGGGAGTTCAAGACCAGCCTGACCAACACGGTGAAACCCTGTATTTAAAAAAAAAAAAAAAAGCTCTAAAATGAAATACGAAGTTGCTTTGTTATACAGAAAATGTTTTTCCACATATTTTCTGAAACAAAGAATTGAGTCCTACAGGAGAACTGAAATTCAGTTTGTGGTTACTGCTGGATTACCAGTGGCGAAGGCCTGGAAGAGATGGACATTTGGGTGGACGAAGGGAAGGGCAAGGGCGAAGACATGGACCTTGAATCTCCTGCATGCCACATCTGCACTTCCAACCCTGTAAGGGGAGCCTTCTGCTCTCCATTCTCTCTCTCTTTTCTCTTTTTTTTTTTTTTTTTTTTTTTGAGATGGAGTTTCGCTCTTACTACCCAGGCTGGAGTGCAATGGCTCGATCTCGGCTCACTGCAACCTCCGCCTCCTGGGTTCAAGCAATTCTCCTGCCTCAGCCTCCCGAGTAGCTGGGACTACGGGCGTGCACCACCATGCCCAGCTAATTTCTGTATTTTTAGTAGAGATGGGGTATGTTGACTGGGATGGTCTCGATCTCTTGACCTCGTCATCCACCCATCTTGGCCTCTCAAAGTGCTGGGATTATAGGCATGAGCCACTGCACCCAGCCTGCTCTCCATTCTCAATCAATCGGACTTCCCTACTCCCTAGACAGCCTTCCACTGAATTCCTCTCCACTCTCTCTTTTTTATTTTTATTTTTATTGTTTTGAGACGGCGTTTTGCTCTTGTTACCCAGGCTGGAGTGCAATGGCGCGATCTCGGCTCACCGCAACCTCCGCCTCCTGGGTTCAGGCAATTCTCCTGCCTCAGTCTCCTGAGTAGCTGGGATTACAGGCACGCGCCACCATGCCCAGCTAATTTTTTGTATTTTTAGTAGAGACGGGGTTTCACCATGTTGACCAGGATGGTCTCGATCTCTTGACCTCGTGATCCACCCACCACAGCCTCCCAAAGTGCTGGGATTACAGGCTTGAGCCACCGCGCCTGGCCTCCCTTCCACTCTCTAGAGCAGTGCTATGTCATGGAACTGTCTGTGATGGCAGAATTGTTCTGCATTTGCACTGTCTCATAAGGTAGCCACTGGCCACATGTGTCTACTGAACACGTGAAATGCAGCTAGTACAACTGAGGAACTCAATTTTAATTTATTTTCAATTAATTCAAATTGGCCAGTGGCTTCTACACTGGACACTGCAAAAAGTGTGGCATCTTCTACAACAAAGGCCCCATCCACTCATGGATCTGTTTTACTTGATAGCTCAACAGCTTAGAGGGGAGACAATAATGAATAAACCAAAATATTAGCAGTATAGCAAGATGAACACTTCCGCTGAGGAAGAATGACCCTAAAGCATGGACTCTTGCCCATCATCTCCTAGCTAAAACGGTTGTGTTCTCCTCTCCTTATGGATCTCCCCATTACTAGCCCCATCACCTGACTGTTCTAACCTCATTTCTCCTCGAAAAATATACAAGGTAGAGAATTCAGTTCAAGTCCCCTTTAGCCTACTCCTCCTCGAACTAACCCAAGCAGTCAGACCCAACTATGACCCCACTAAGCCATCCCTCTGTCCATACACCCTAAGTCAGTTTTGCTCAACCCTATGCATCAGAATTCCTGGTATAGGTGTTAAAATGCAGATTCCTGGATCCTGAGACAGAATCAGAATCTTGGAGGAAGGAGGTGACAACCTGCATTTTTCACAAAGCGATTTTTTTTTTTTTTTTTTTTTTTTTGAGACGGAGTTTCGCTCTTGTTACCCAGGCTGGAGTGCAATGGCCTGATCTCGGCTCACCGCAACCTCCGCCTCCCGGGTTCAGGCAATTCTCCTGCCTCAGCCTCCTAAGTAGCTGGGATTACAGGCACGTGCCACCACGCCCAGCTAGTTTTTTTTTTTTGTATTTTTAGTAGAGACGGGGTTTCACATGTTGACCAGGATGGTCTCGATCTCTCGACCTCGTGATCCACCCGCCTCGGCCTCCCAAAGTGCTGGGATTATAGGCTTAAGCCACCGCGCCCGGCCACAAAGCGATTTTTACACTAAAGTTTGAGAGCCAAAAGCAACCTCTCCAACTGGTCCCCACCCCACCCCCCACTCCACCGCGCCGCGCCCGGGCACAGCAGATGAGAAAGCTGTTTGGTCTGACCACTGCCCTAGGTGAGCATGGTACCCAGGTGCTTCCTACTCCACACACCGCTCTATTAAGACAGCACGGGGATTTCACTCTTTCCATTTTCAAAAGTTGTCGGGATCTACTGCCTTTTGATAACTTCACTTGTGGGTCAAGATGGCCAGGGCGAGACCCATGTTATTTCTAGCTGAATAATTATAAGCTTGCTTGGCTCAGAGTACACGAACTAAACCGTATTACTGGTGCGGTTAATTAGAAATCAAGCAGCAACAGGAGGCCTAAGGTAAAGACCATCCGAGAGCGCGGTAACACCGGGGAACACCGACAGGTGGTTGCAGAGCAGGCAATATTACTATGGTCCCACGAATGCCTTCTCAACATGGAGACTGCAGGAGGGCCTCGGAAAGAGGGCTAATGCAAAGATCTCAGAGAAGTGAAGCGACCTCTGCTCACAAGATCCGGGAGGGTCTTTGCAGATGGGAGCTGGCAAGGAGGAGAACAGCCTTGCAGGGCAGAGATCACGGAACACCTCAGGCTCTGCCTAGGTTCTGGAACGTGGAGTGATTTTAATTGCTCTGTGTTCTTAATCCTCAGGAGACAAAAGCCCCTTGATTTATTGGGTGTGGTCAGACCGGATGGTTCCTCATTCGCTAAAGTTCTGATGCAGCTGCACCCTGGTAACAATTGGTGATAAACTCAGAGCACTAGTTTACCATGTCTTAGAAGGATCACAAGTGCCCCACCATGTTACCTATCCCTTCACCCTCCCACACCCGAAAGATCAATGAGATTATGCACATAACAAAAGTGTTTGGAGCCCAGAGTTCAGGACCAACGGGGTTCCCACTTTTGCGCTGATCCCCTGGATCCATGCTATAAATTCTACTTTCGTGGCTCTCTGTATTTCCTTTTCTCAATCCCTCATCACTGCTGGGACTAAGGGCACCCATGCATGGGGTTTGGGCTGGTACCCGACACTCATCTCCTTATCTTTTAACCAATTATACTATAAAAAAACAATAGCTTCAAGAAAATTAATCCCGTATGTCCGAACCATCCTTACCCATCAAAATTCTGCACAACTTGGAAAGTACTCAGTGTCTTCCTTGGTGGTAGCAGGCCAGTGTCTCACCTCCTGGGGCTGCTGCTCCATACGGACTGCTGAGCAGAAGGCGGCACACAGCCCACCTCTAGGAAGCTGGGCCAAATGGCTGCTGAGCAAACTAACTCAAGTCCCTCAGGGTGAAAACACTGGAGATACATTCTTGCTTGGGTCTTTACAACTCCTGTTTCTCATATGCCCAAAGTAGCTTCACAGTTGTTAGCTGATATATTAATAATGGAAGACGTGAGTTTGGGCTGTCACAAATATGCTCATGTTAGTCAAGACCTATAGGCTTAGGAATGGCTAACTAGCATTAAGTAGCTGCTCAAGAAAATCTGTTGAAAATGACGTTCAGGCTGGGAATAGTTGCAAACTTATAGTCCCAGTTACTTGGGAGGCTGAGGCAGGAGGATTTCTTGAGCCCAAGAGTTCTAGGACCTAGTGTGCTGTGACTGCCGCTGTGAACAGCCACCATACTCCAGCCTGGGTAACAGAGCCAGACCCCATCTCTTAAAATAAGACATTCAGTTTCAAAGTTAACAGATTTGGCAACCTCAGTGAGGAATTTTTTAGGTCTTTTGTTGTTGTTGTTAATGCTATGGATGTAGGAAAAAGCCAAGGCTCGGGACACCTTGGTTCTGACCCTGGCCAGCTGTAACCTTCACTCTCACAAAGTGTACCCTGCACACTGCAGTACCAAGCAAACACTGAATCAGAACAAAAGGCCATGGAACAGATGTCAGGACCTAAGTTCCAGTACTTCTCTGGAGTTGATAAACTTTACCCACAGGTTTCAGAGAAAATAACACATCAGGACTACTGGCATGACCACCCTGAGCTATGTATACCAAGCAGACAAGCTTTCCAGAAAGGGGCTCTTAACAAGTATCATAATGCTGCATTAATATTTTTTATTTTATTACTATTTTTTTGAGATGGAGTCTCGCTCTGTCACCCAGGTTGGAGTGCAGTGGCCTTATCTCCACTGACCACAACCTCCACCTGCTGGATTCAAGTGATTCTCCCACCTCAGCCTCCCGAGTAGCTAGGACTACAGGCATGTGCCACCATGCCCAGCTAATTTTTTTTTTTTTTGTATTTACAGTAGAGACAGGGTTTTGCTGTTGTCCTGGCTAGTCTCAAACTCCTGGCCTCAAGTGATCCACCCACCTTGGCCTCTCAGAAGTGCTGTGATTACAGGCGTCAGCCACCAGGCCTGGCCTGCATTCATATTTAAAAACCTGGATAAAATCAGAAATAGCTTTGTTGACATGGAGAAAATAAATTTTAATGAAGGAGCTACCCTCTATAACAGATAAAAAAAAAATCCTTTTCATCTGTAATCTACTTATTAAAAATGTGCCCTTCATTAAACCTGATTCTTGACCTCTTTTCACCTTTTTTTGAAACAGAACCTCCTTTTGTTGTCCAGGCTGGAGTGCAGTGGTGCAATCTCGACTCACTGCAACCTCCGCTTCCCGGGTTCAAGAGCTTCTCCTGCCTCAGCCTCCGGAGTAGCCGGGACAATAGGTGCCTGCCACTGCGCCCAGCCCTTTTTTCGTTTCTGTTCCTTTCCACGATAATGTAACTATCACCTCCTTATTCTTAATTTAGGTCTCGCAAAACTCATCATTCCTTTTTCATCTCACTCTAATTTGATAATCCTTCCAGATAATTCTGCCAGCTACCATTTGTTGATGGCCTGACGCCTTAGATTCCTTATGTCACAGCTCCACAGCCCAGGAACAGGAACAGAGAAAGTGGTCCAGCTTTGTCAAGAGCGGCGCAGTGCAGTCGGAAAAGCCAGGTGCACCAGCAGATTCCAAAGGCTCTGCAGGCCCAGTCTCCACGCAGCCCCTCCCACCCCAGCCAGACCAGCTACCTTTCTAAACTTGGTTCAACTTCCCCAACTACTTCAAGTCATTCTACTGTCATCGTCTTCATTCACGAAAATCTCCCGATCGGCTCTATCAACAATATGTTTAGTAACCGTACACTGAGAAACCCCATCAGGCCTAGAACAGGTCCTGAGGAGTGGGATGGAGAAACAAGAGGAAGGGAGCAGGTGAGTGGAGGGGAAAAAAAGAAATGGAGTGGGAGAGGTGGTGACTAGTGGCGGCCATCCGGGACCCCTGCACCGGCTTCCTGACCCTCGAGATTGCGGCTGGATCCTGCACTGTGCCTGCCATACATGGCTACCTATCTACTTCCTCTGCGACCATGTGACTTTTACAACTTGCTTCTGGAGCACTGCTTCCTTTGCGCAGCAAAATATAAAAAGCTCTGAAATAAAGCCACTCTAATCGACTGCAGGCGTTTCTTTTTTTCTGATCCGAAATCTCACTCTGTCGCCGAGGTTGGAGTGCCCTGGCGCCATCTCAGCTCACTGCAACAACCTCTGCCTCCCGGGTTCAAGCAAATTTGCCTCAGCCTCCCAGGTAGCTGGGACTACATGCGCGCGCCACCACGCCCGGCTAACTTTTCTGTATTTTTAGTAGAGACGGGGGTTTCACCGTTTTGGCCAGGCTGGTCGCGAACTCTTGACCTCAGGTGATCTGGCCGCCTAGGCCTCCCAGACTGTCTAGGCCTCCCAAACTGTTGGGGTTACAGGCGTGAGCCACCACGCCCGACCGACCGCAAGCGTTTCGACCTTTCGTTTGTCTTCCTCTGGCCAGGTCTGAAGTTTCTGAACTTTACCAGTAATAACTAATAAGAGACACAAAGTACGCTCTCAGCAGTTATTTTGTAGAGAAAAGTTATTGTGGTTTTGGCTCAAACCGACAGACAGCAGCAGGTTTCCTGGATGCAGAAGAGATACCAGGTGTGCTGCCCGCCAGGAACTGGCCTTCGCCTCCAGCTTGAAGCCCAGGTGGACCCAGGGGCCTCTGCCCGGGCACCCCGCGGGTCAGTTATGCTTTCCTTATGACTCGGCGGAACCCCTCCTTTTTACTTTTCGAAGTGAGCAAACAAATATCCAATTCCAAAAGTCATCAATTCAAACGGCCAAGTGTGGGGGAACGCCCCGCCCGGGTGAGGCCAGCGTTTTCAGGTTTAAATAGCCGGGGCGCCCGGAAAGCACTCACCGCCCGGAGGACAAAGGCGGCAGGGGCACGCCCCGGCGCCTGCGCCGCTACCCCGGACCGCAAGGAGGCCGCCAAGTCCCGGAGTGTTTCTTAGACTGGAGCGCGAAGCCGTCCCCAGCGGCCCTGAGTGCTGCAATGCAAGCCCCCAACTTCTCCAGGCCGCCCCGCAAAGCCCAAGGAACCCGCGGCCCCGCTGCGGCCCGCGCGCCCGCCCCGCTAACCCTTGTTTCCCCCTAGGCTGAAGCAAGACGCAGACCCGCCCGGCGCCCCCTACCTACCTGCGGGGCGCACCTCGCGGGGCCCCGACGCCGTGCTCATCGCGACCAAGGTCGCAGCCAGACGCTCGGTCCTCCACTTCCTGAAACCAGGGTCTCCCCGTGGGGCCTGGGGGGACCCTGGCCCCGCCCCCGGCCCTTCCTTTGCGGCCCGCCCCCTGCGCCCAGAGTTGGGGCCTGTTGGTTCGGGCTGTCTTCGCGTCAGACCGGTCCCTCCCCAGTTAGCTCCTCCCGTTGGCTCCCGAGCCGCGGGGGCCGGGGCACGGGGGCGGGGAGAGGGACGCGGTCTCCGCCTCCGGACCCGCTGGGCCTAACCCGGCCCTGGAACAGTTAACACCTGGGGGACACTCAGACCGCCTAGCTCGAGGCAATTTCGCAGCACGTGTGTGAGCTCGGCCTCATTCAATCCCAGCAGCTGCAAACATTTGCTCTTCCTACGTAGATTGTTTTATACCGCTTAACAGATACTGCCTTTATTTCAACAACATTGGCTCACTCTGTGTCTCTGTGTCACACTTTGGTGACTCGCAATATTTCAAAATTTTTCATTGTTATTATGTCTGTTATGGTGATGTGTGGTCTTTAATATTATTTTAATTGTTTTGGGGGCACCGTGAACCACACTCACATAAGAAGGGGAAATGAATCCAGAAGCCCTGTATGTGTTCGGACTGCTCCACCGACATTTCCCTGCCCTCTCCCTCTCCTGGGGCTTTCCTGTTCCTGGAAACACAATATAGAAATTAGGACAATAATCCTACAAAGGCCTCTAAGGGTCCAAATGAAAGGAAGAGTGTGTCACTTTAAATGGAAAGCTAGACATGTTAATCATTAAAGTTAATGAGGAAGGAATGTTAATGAGGAAGGAATGCTAATAGGCAGAAAGCTAGGCTTCTAGCTCCAGTTAGCCAAGCTGTGAATATAAAGGAGAAAAGCCAAGTCATGAATGCAAAGGAAAAAATTTTGAAGGAAATTAAGAATGCTACTCCAGTAAACATACAAAAGATAAAAAAGCTAAACAGCCTTATTGCTGATATGGAGAAAGTTATAGTTTGTCTGGATAGAAGATAAAACCAGCCACAATATTCTCTTAAGCCAAAACCTAATCCAGAGCAAGGCCCTAACCCTCTTCAGTTCTACGAAGGCTGTGAGAGGCGAGGGAACTGCAAAAGAAAAGTTGGAAGCTAGCCGAGGATGGTTCCTGAGGTGTAAGGAAAGAAGCTATCTTCGTAACATAAAAGTGCAAGGTGAAGCAGCAGGTGCAAAGGTAGAAGCTGCATCAGGTTATCCAGATCTAGCTAAAATCATTGATTGAAAAAGGCAGCTACACTAAACAACAGATGTTTTGTTTTTGAGACGGAGTCTCCCTCTGTCACTAAGGCTGGAGTACAGCGGTGCGATCTCGGCTTGCTGCAACTTCTACCTTCTGGGTTCAAATGATTCTCCTGCCTCAGCCTCCCAAGTAACTAGGATTACAGGCATGTGCCACCATGCCCAGGCTAATTTTGTATTTTTAGTTGAGATGGGGTTTCGCCATATTGGCCGGGCTGGTCTTGAACTGATCTCAAGCAATCCACCTGCCTCGGCCTCCCAAAGTGCTGGGATTACAGGTGTGAGCCAACATGCCTGGCCAAAACAGATCTTAAATGTAGATGAAATGGCCTTCTATGGGAAGAAGATTCCATCTAAGACTTTCATAGCTAAAGAGAAGTCAATGCCTGGCTTCCAAGCTTTAAAGAACAGGCTGATGCTCTTGTTAGAGGCTAATGCAACTTGTGACTTTAAAGCCAACATTGATTTATCATTCTGAAAATCCTAGCGCCTGCAAGAGTTATGTTAAATGTGCTCTATAAATGGACCAACAAAGCCTAGTTACTAACAGCAAATCTATTTATAGCATGGCTTACGGAATATTTTAAGGCCACTGAGCTCGAGTGCTCAGAAAAAAAAAAAAAAAAAGTTCCTTTCAAGATATTACTGCTCATTGACAATACACCTGGTCATCTAGGAGTTCTGCTGGAGATTGTGTATCTGTATCAAACTGATGCTGTTACCATGCTTGCTAGCACAACATCCATTCTGAAGCTCATGGATCAAGGAGAAATTCTGACTTTCAAGTCTTATTTACAAAATACATTTCATGAGGCTATAGCTGTCATCGTGATTCCTCTGATAGTTGTGAGCAAAGCAAATTGAAAATCTTCTGGAAAGGATTTATCATTTGAGATGCCATTAAGAACATTCATGATTCATGGGAGATCAAAATATCCGCTTATGGTGTTTAACTAGAAATGAGGGGAGGAGGGGAACAAAAAAATGAAAATTTAAAAATTTATGTATTAGCCACAATGGCTTCTGCCTGTAATCCCAGCACTTTGGGAGGACAAGGTGGGAGGACTGCTTGAGGCCAGGAGTTTTCAGACCAGCCTAGGCAACAAAGTGAGACCCTGTCTCTACAAAAAAATAATTAGCCAAGAGTGGTGGCACATACTATTCTCAGCAACTCGGGATGCTAAGGTGGCAGGATTGAGTTCAAGTTTGAGGCTGCAGTGAGCTGACTGTGCCACTTCACTACAGTCTGGGTGAGAGTAAGACCCTCTTTAAAAATATATATACATAATTGGCCGGGCGCGGTGGCTCAAGCCTGTAATCCAAGCACTTTGGGAGGCCGAGGCGGGTGGATCACGAGGTCAAGAGATCGAGACCATCCTGGTCAACATGGTGAAACCCCGTCTCTACTAAAAATACAAAAAAAAAATTAGCTGGGCATGTTGGCGCGTGCCTGTAATCCCAGCTACTCAGGAGGCTGAGGCAGGAGAATTGCCTGAACCCAGGAGGCGGAGGTTGCGGTGAGCCGAGATCGCGCCATTGCACTCCAGCCTGGGTAACAAGAGCGAAACTCCCTCTCAAAAAAAAAAAAAAATATATATATATATATATATAATTGATATATAAAAATATTTAAAAATATTTCAATTGGCACATTGGGTGGTATTTCACTGGCAGGACAACATGCCTACCCATTTTATATATACACACATACGTTATATATAAGTGTGTGCATATATATATATCTCTCTCCACATTAACAGAAGCTTAAAAGAAGTTGATTCCAACCCTCATCAATGATGCTGAGGGGTTCAAGACTTCAGTGGAGGAAGTCGCTGTAGATGTGGTGGAAGTAGCAAGACAAATAGAACTGGAAGTGGAGTCTGAAAATGCAACTGCACTGTTGCCGTCTCATGATAAAACTTTGATAAATGAGGAGATGCTTTTTACGGATGAGCAAAGAAAATGGTTTCTTGAGATAAAATCTATTCTTGGTGAATACTGTTTAAATGACAACAAAGGATTCAGGGTATTAGTTGACAAAGCAGTGGCAGGGATTGACCCCAACTTTGAAAGAAGGTGGTTGGGTAAAATGCTGTCAAACAGCATCACGTGCTTAAGGGAAATCTTTAGTGAATGGAAGAATCAATGGATGGCCAAATGCAGCGGCTCACGACTGTAATCCCAGCACTTTGGGAGGATAAAGCAGGCAGATCACTTGAAGACAGGAGTTCAAGACCAGATTGGCCAACAGGGTGAAACCCTTTCTACTGAAAATACAAAAATTAGCTGGGCACAGTGGCAGGCACCTGTAGTCTCAGCTACTCAGGAGGCTGAGGCAAGAGACTTACTTGAACCCAGGAGGCAGAGGTTGCAGTAAGCCAAGATCATGCAACTACACTCCAACCTGGGTGATAGAGGGAGACTCCATCTCACAAAAAAAATAAAAATTAGGCCGGGCGCGGTGGCTCAAGCCTGTAATCCCAGCACTTTGGGAGGCCGAGGCGGGTGGATCACGAGGTCGAAAGATCGAGACCATCCTGGTCAACATGGTGAAACCCCGTCTCTACTAAAAATACAAAAAACTAGCTGGGCGTGGTGGTGCATGCCTGTAATCCCAGCTACTTAGGAGGCTGAGGCAGGAGAATTGCCTGAGCCCAGGAGGCGGAGGTTGTGGTGAGCCGAGAACGCGCCATTGCACTCCAGCCTGGGTAACAAGAGCGAAACTCCGTCTCAAAAAAAAAAAATAAATAAATAAAAATAAAAATTAAAAAAAAAAAGCCGGGCGCCTTGGCTAATGCCTGTAATCCCAACACTTTGGGAGGCTGAGGCGGGTGAATCACAAGGTCAGGAGATCAAGACCATCCTGGCTAACACAGTGACACCCCACCTCTACTGAAAAAAAAAAAAAAAAAAAAAAAAGGTTATCTGGGCATGGTGGCATGCGCCTGTAGTCCCAGCTACTCGGGAGGCTGAGGCAGGAGAATCGCTTGAACTCAGGAGGCCGAGGTTGCAGTGAGCCGAGATCAAGCCATTGCACTCCAGCCTGGGTGACAAAGTGAGAATCCATCTCAAAAAAAAAAAAAAAAAAAAAAAAAAAAAATCTAAAAATAAAAAAAATAAATAAATAAAAAGCAAACTTCCTTAAGAAATTGCCAGTCACCCCAGCCTTCAGCAACCACCACCCTAATCAGTCAGCAGCCCTCAACAAGACACCCACCAGCAAAGACTGTAACTCGCTGAAGGCTCAGATGATCCCTAGAATGTTTTAGCAATATTTTTAAATTATGGTATATGCATTATTTTTTAGACATGTTATTGCATACTTAATAGACTACACTTTAGTATAAACAACTTTCATATGCACTGGGAAACCAGAAAATGTGTTGACTATTGGCCTGGAACCAAACTGGAAATCTGAGGTATGCCATAGGGGGTGGTGCGTGTGTTCCTGCACTGCCAGTTACTTTGTAGGACTTGCAGTAACCTCTTTTAAATGCTTTTTGTTTGTATAGGTGACTTGGGCCAAAGTAAACCGGATGTAGCTCCTGGTATTTTTTTTTCTTTCCTTCGAGACAGAATTTTGCTCTTTTTGCCCAGGTTGGAGTGCAGTGGCACAATCCTGGCTCACCGCCACCACCACCTCCCACGTTCAAACGATTCTGCTGCCTCAGCCTCCCGAGTATCTGGGATTACAGGCATGCACCACCACGCTCAGCTAATTTTGTATTTTAGCAGAGATGGGGTTTCTCCATGTTGGTTAGACTGGTCTTAAACTCTGGACCTCAGGTAATACGCCTGCCTTGGCCTCCCAAAGTGTTGGGATTACAGGCATGAGCCACCAAGTCT